AGAGAACAAAGTTACCTCTCTCATCACTTCGCTGGACGCTTGTCTCTTTCTTGCTTTATGACATCCTGGGAGCCTGCTCTGTTGTCCCTGGGAGCCAAACACTTCTAGAGGCCTTGGGGAGAAAAACAAGTCTGATGCCATAAAACTGTCACATCTGTATCCTCAAGCATCCCCAAATATATACCTCCTTCACCTGAGGCCTTCCATGCACCTTTGCAACCTTCCCTTTCACTTCATCTTCTAGCCAGATCTGACCATGGGCTGCACCCTGAGCATGACCTACATTCTTCCATTCTCTGCCCTCACACGTTGGGCTGGCACTTTCCCAAATGCAGTTGGTAAAATGTTACCCACCTTTTGAGATACATTTGAAATTAGAGCCATGTCTGTGAAGTATATATGATCTCACCTTCCCCAAAAGCCCATAGCCCTTGTCTCTTTTATGGACCTTACCTCACTGTTCCCCTCCCATCTCCTATCCTTTGGAAAAGGCAGACAGATCCCGACTTTGGATTCCTGGAGTTTAACTGCCACCTTTGGGCTCTGGGCCAGTCAGATCCCTTTTACTTGCCAATGACAGGAACCCCAACTCAAACTGGTGGAAATAATGAAGGGAATTTATTAGTATCAAAAGTCTGGGGATGTTTGTAGTCAGGCATGGCCGATCCAGGTGCCCAGATCTCTCTCCCTCTCTCCCCTTTCCTCGGTGTGGGTTTCCTTCCCAGCAGAACTCTCTACAACACGGCCCCCGGCATCTCCAGACCAACATTATTCCTAAGCCATGATCCCGGGGAGAGAGTTTCTCCGTCCTGCTGTTCCAGAAGACACCTGAGTTGACTCATTGGGTTGAATTGGGTCTAGAGCCAAAAACTGGTTAGTGGAAGTGAAACCCAGTGACTGGCCACGCTAGCATCAAGTGCTGCAACTTGAGGGAGGACTGAGGCCAGCCCTATCCAAACCACGTGGGCTCCCAACAGGGAAGAGTGGTTCCTCAACAGGAAGTAGAAGAGCACACAGAGATGCTGCACAGGTGGAGACAGCAGATGCCCACCACTGGTTCAGAGCACCCAGGTGAGGGCCCAGTCCCTGGAAATGCCCCATATCCTCCCATTTTTATACTCGACCCGTCCTTTAATACCCAGCCCATGTCTATCAGCTCTGTGATGCCTCCCCATCTGCTGTAGGTGCCCAGAGTCTGTACCACTTACCCAAGTGCAGACCTTTATGATGCCTTATCAAGATCTTTATATTTTCATTTGTTAAAGCCTCATTGAGCAACATGATTATAGGCCCACTGGGAGCAGGGATGTGACCATCCGTGTATTTCCCCCTCCTACCCTAATACAGCCCTGGGTGCCTGGATAGTGCTACAGTGAACCATGCATGGATTACAGATCATATCCAGGTCTGAAAACTGACTGGGTCCCTTACCACCCATGTGACCTTGGGGGTCCCCTGACCTCTCTGCGCCTTAGTTTCCACATCTAGAAGTTAGGGCTATGAAAACATCTATTTTACAGAACCATCCTAACTAATAAAGAGGGAATATGCTAATTGACCCTCATGCTGTCGCAAAGATGGAGGTGCCCACAGCCAATAAGGAGGGAATATGCTAATTGCCCCCCCACCCTCAAAGATGGCAACGCCCACAGCCAGTAAGGAGGGAATATGCTAATTGACTGCCCCGCCCTCAAAGATGGTGACGCCCACAGCCAATAAGAAGGGAATATGCTAATTGACTGCCACACCCTCAAAGATGGCGGCGCCCACAGCCTCAAGATGGTGGTGCCCAGTCCCCTCAGCTCCACCGGGGTGGCAGGCATGTGGCAAGGCTGGGTCTGCCCCCAGGCGGGCTCGGTCACTCCACTTGCCTGTCTCCGGAGTCCCCCGGTCCCCTCAGCTTCCCAGCTGCCCAGGGCCAGCCCAAGGTGCAGGCAAGCCTCAGATATCGGCTGCCCAGCCACCCAGGGTTGCCTGAGGCTCAGGTAACCAGGGCCAGCTGAGGCTTGCGCTGCTGGCAGTGGCAGCAGTAGAGATTTGATGGGGCATCGCCTTCCCCTGATCTCTGGGTTGCTTCCCGCCCCTGAGGGCTCCTGGACTGTGAGAGGGGGCAGGCCGGGCTAAAGGACCCCCCCTCCAGTGCATGAATTTTCATGCACCGGGCCGCTAGTAAAATAATAAAGGAGATACTAAAAGTGGTACCTCCCACTCTCAGGTAAGCCTGGCCTGTTCCTGTTTTCCTCCAGTTACAGTTGACCCTTGAACAATGTGGAGGATCACCGACCCCCACACACTAGAAAATCCACATGTAATTTTTGACTCCCCCAAAATTTAACTGCAGTTGGCTATTTGCACCTGTGTATTCAACCAACCATGAATTGAAAACAATATTTTTAGAGATAGGCTTGGGGAAAGGGAGAGGAAGTGGGAGTTAGTGTTTAATGGGCACAGAATTTCAGTTTGGGAAGATGTAAAATTTTAAAAATAAATAGTGGCGATGGTGACACAACATTGTGAATGTAATTAATGCTACTGAGTTTTACACTAAAAAATGGTTAAAATAGAAAATTTTATTCTCTCTATTACCATAATAAAAAATTTTTAAGTTAAGAAAAAAACAATTTTTAATCCTCAGTTGGGAAAGTGCAGTTGAGAATATGAAAATACTGTTTTCTGTCAGGTTGACCTTGGATGTGAAACCTGCAGATTTCAAAGGGCTGACTGTATTTATTGAAAAAAATCTGAGTATAAGTCGACCCACACAGTTCAAACCATATTGTTCAGGGTGAACTGTACAGGATTGAGTATTTAGTTACAACTGAGGTAAGAAACAGGTGTTGGCCTTCCTTATTTCTGTGATACTGTGGTCTCCAGGCTGTCCTTTGCCTCCTTAATCATTTGTTTTGTTTTTCTTGGCCAGCTTCTCTTATTTTTTCTCTACCTTTTAAACGATGTGTGTGTGCAGGGCAGCAGAGTGGAGTGGTCAAGAGCTCAGACAGGCTCTGGTCCTCGGTTGCCTCCATGTGGGTTACATTTATACCAGTTGCTGGAGAGTAACCTCAGGCAAGTTAGTTAACCTCTGAGCAGCCCAGTTCCTCACCTGTAAAGTGAGAAATCACAATAGTATTTACCCCATGCTGCTGGACTGAATGAGTTGATTTGTGTAAAGCACTTAGAACAGGACTTGGTGGGGAGCAAATGCAATAGAAACATTAACTATTACTCCTATTTTAATGTTCCAAACTGAAATACGTTATCCTTCAGCATCAGGTTGAGCCAGTTCTTTAAACTTCTATTCTTTCACTCCTCTCCTAATTTTTAAATTCAGTCCCTCATAGTTTCAAGTATGGATTACTCCCACACCTTTCTAAATGGTCTCCCCTCCCTGTCTTGCCTTCTGTTCTATTCTTCACACAAAAAGCTAATCATATCTCTCCCCTCATTTGTCTTTGAGTGGCATCCCATAGCGTTGAGGACACAGAGTCCAAACTCTAGGGCATTACATGCAAATGATTTTCCTTGCTTACTTCTTTAGCCTCATCCCTACCCACTGTTATTTTCACCAGTTTTTAATGAATCCTTCCAGGGATATGCTGTACATAAACAAGCTTATATCCTCTCTTCTTCATACATATGATGCCCGTTGCTACATAGTTTTGCACCTTACTTTTGTCACTTATCCTACAAATTGTTCCTTATAGATTGACCTCATTCTTTTAAAGGCAGAGCCTGAACTCCTAGCCCCTTACTCTATTCTGCCCCAGTGAATGACAGCTGAGTGATTTTTGGCTCTAATTGATGCTCAACAAATAGTTGAAGAGTTGAACACATTACGTTAAAACTGCGCCCAGGTGGCTGGACTCTCGTGTTCTGATGACTGAAGGAAACAGGATGCTCCATATTCAGTTTGGGGTCCTGTGTAATCCGGGTGGTTCTGTCCTCTCCTTACACGTCTCTGAAGAAGTTCTTCTTGCCTCCTGCATTAATTTTGACATAGTCCAATTTATCAATTTTTCCTTCTATAATATATGCTTTTTTGGGTACTAAGAATTCTTTGTATATACTATGGTCATAACATTTTCCTCCTGTGTTTTCTTTTAGACATTTTTATTGTAGCATTTACAAATTAAGCCAATGATCAATTTTAAGTTAAATTTTGTTTATAGTGTAAGTCAATGTGTAAGGTTTATTTTCTTCCTGGGATAGTCAATTGTGCTAGAAACATTTGTTGAAAATCTATTCTGCATTGATTACTTTGGCATTTTTGCCCAAAATTAATTGACCATATATGAGTAGGTCTATTTCTGGGCTCTTTACTCTGTTCCATTGACCTCGGCGTCTATCCTATGTTAATAGCATACTGTCTTTATTATTGTAGCTTTATGGTAAATCTTAAAATAGTGTCCTTTTTACACTATTTTAGGGTGTAGTGTAGGATGTGGTCTAAGTCCTTCAACTTTGGTCTTCTTTTTTACAGTTTTTTTTTTTGGCTATTTTAAGTTCCTAACATTTACATATAACTTTTATTGTCAGTTTGTCAATTTCTATTAAGAAAAAACGCGGTGACATTATGATTGAGATTATATTGAATACCTGTATCTTAACAATACTGAGTCTTTCAGTCCATAAACATTGTATACATCCTCATTTATTTAGGTCTTATTTAATTTTTTCCGTGATTATTTTATCATTTTCAGTGTGGAGATTTCAAATATGCTTTGCTTAAATTTATCCATAAGTGTTTTATGTCTTTTGATGTTATTATAAATGGTATTTGTGGTAGCCAGTCTCCAAATTGGCTCCCAGTGATCCTTCCTTTCTGATATTAATGCCTTCATATAATACCTGGCCCCCTTCTCCAACCCCCATACACACATTGTACAAGAGTTGGTCTGGGTGACCAATAGAATATGGCATAAGTCGAATGCCAAGTCTGAGATTGGTAATAAAAGGCATCATGGCTTCTTCTTTGCTCTCTTGTGCATTGCTTGCTCTGGAAGACATGGGAACCTCTCTGTTGGAAAGTCCAATGTGGTGAAGAACAGAGACCTCCTAAATGAGGAACTGAGGCCTCCACCAGCAAGTCGAGAATGAGTGAGTGATCTTGGAAATGGATTCTCCAGCCCAGGTCAGACCTTCAGATGACAGCAGCCTGAGTCGACATCTTGACTGCAACATCTTGAGAGACCCCTGAGCTAAAGGACCACCCAGTGAAGCTGCTTCCAGATTCCCGACTCTCAGAAATTGTGTGAGATAATAAACGTTTGTTGTTTTAAACTGGTGGTTTGTTATATAGCAATCGAGAACTAATACAGTATTGTGGTTTTTAAATTGATGGTATTTATCTTATTTCAATTTCCAATTCTTCAATATCCAAATAGCATATAGAAATTCTATTAAAAAAATAAAGATCTTGCGTCCTGTGTCCTTGCTAAAATCAGCTCTTTTTGCAGATATTTTAGGGTTTTCTATATAGGTAATCATGTCATCTTTGACAAAGATAGTTTTACTTTTTTTCCCCCAAATCTGGATGCCTTTTATTTACTCTACTGCCTTATTAAACTAGCTAGAACTTTCAGTATTATGTTGCATGAAATGGTGAGGGCAGATATTCTTGCCTTGTTCTTGATCTTAGGGAAAACCATTCAGTCTTTCATTATAAGTATGATGTTAGTTGTAGTTTTTCCATAGATGTTCTATATTGGGTTGAGGAAGTTTTCTTCTGTTCTTAAGAAATTTTCCCAATTCCTGTCATCAATATTAGACGTAGTTTTATCATAATAACAGGTAGTTGTTATAGTGAGACCTACACACATATATTTAAATTCATATAGAATGATATTTACATGTTTAAATTACATTTTGAAATCAGAAGATGAAGTATAGCTTAAGTTTTTAAATAAAGAGAAGAAAAATACACAGGACAAAAATAGAATTAACAGTAAAAATATCACTATCTGGTCTTGATACAACATGTAGAAACTTTTTGTCAGAAAGCTACATTTTAATCTGATTGTCCAAACCAATAAAATATGGATGGCTCAGTGCCATTTTGCCAGCAACTTGTTTGGCTGGATCATAAACTAACATTTTTGAAAGCAAACCTAAGGTATTTTCAACCAAGTTTTTCAATGGGATACTAGGTTTCCTGGTTTCAACTTGGGAAACGTATTCTTATAGTCCTGTGAAGATTCTACTTCTGGCACACTTTATTTTTGGTGGTGCCCCAAAACTTTGAAAATCCCGAAGAGTTGATTAATTTCTGAATCCCCAGATGGCTTATTGTTGCTAATTCTGTAGGTATGGTTTCTGTCTTCCAGAGGTCAGCTAGCTTAGTTGTGAGCTGACCAAGCAGTACTTCTGGAGATCTATAGTATACCAGAGTGCTGCTACCTCACGTATGTTTCCTCTGATTGGTATTCCAAAAGCTCTGAAAGGCCCAAACCCGCTGGTTTACTAGTCATTGTTCCTTTGTTATCAGTGGACTTTGAGGTTTTAAGTCTCTGTAAGAGCTCTTCTAGAGTGACAGAATACAACCTCTTGCATGGTTTTGTATGTTTCTCTCTCTCTCCCCACCCCTCTCTCCCTGCCTCTAAAATCAATAAGCATACCCTTGAGTGAGGTTTAGAAAGATAGAAAAAAAGATGTGCTTATGAACAAGTGAAGAATCCATGAACTGACCAGAAGGGATAGAGTCCAAGTATTTCTGGAGATCCAAGGTATTCAAAGATGAGATATAACCTAGATATCTAGGTTATACCTAGAGTCCTTCATAAGCACATTTTTTTTTCTTTCTAATCCTCACTCAAGGATAATGCTTATTGACTTTAGAGACAGGAAGGGGGCGGGCAGAGAAAGGGAGAGACAGAGAGAGAAACATTGATGTGAGAGAGAACATCAACTGGTTGCCTTCCATATGTGCGCTGCCCGGGGATCAAACCTGCAACCTTTTGGTATATGGGACAACGCTCCAACTAACTGAGCCACACTGGCCAGGGCTATAAGCACCTCTTGAAGACTGTATTTGAATGACAAAGTTCTTTTAATAGAGAAATTCCCAGAATTACAGTACTAGAAATCTCTTCCTCTTTACTTTCTCGTCTGATTTTCATCATGGCTACTACTTGACCTGTTGTTTTGTGTCTACCCTGATGCATAACTCCATAGGTACTTTATCCAATTTTCTCTGTTTTGATGTAATATTCCATAGTTATTCAGTAGGTATGGTAGATCCCAGCTTATTATTCTGTGATGGTGGGGGTGGGGTGGGGTGGTTGAGGGGGTGGTGAAGACAACAGTGGCTGGCATCATGTCTGTGCTGCTCTTTCCTAAACTTCCGAGAAACCTGAGAATTTTTACTATGAATTGTTTTCTAATAATCTTTCTGAGTCTATTGAGATAATTGTATTTTTTCTTTTTTGTTGAGTTAATATGGTGAATCCCATGGTTGATATTTTAATGTTAAACCAGCTTTGCATTTCTGAGAAAACATCCATTTAGTCATCGCATATAAATTGTTTTTGAAAATACTCAATGAATACTTTGTTCTATTATTTCAGGCACATCTTCATTTTATGCATCTGAGAGAGGCCAGGAGATGCTGCTCCCGATTGGCTGCTGCATGGGAGAACAGAGGCCCTTGGTGCCTGAAATGTGCACAGTTAGGCTTTTGTAACCCTCTCAGATCCTTGGGAGATGTACCCAGACTGAGCAGAGGGAGAGGAAGGGAGAGAGAAATTGATTTGCTGTTCCACTTTTTATACATTCATTGGTTGATTCTTGTAGGTGTCTTGGCTATGGATCAAACCCACAACCTTGATGTATCAGGACGATGCTCTAACCAACTGTGCTTCCCAGCCAAGGCCAGAATCTTGATAAATTGTTGATAATTTTCTGCTACCTTGAATCAATATATTTATTTGAATCAAATATTTGTTCAACTTTAATTTTGAGGAGAACCTGAAAACTGGATAGTGAGTGGAAGAATGGAGAAGGAGGACTGCTGGTAGAAACCTCAAAATAGGGAGACTATTTAGACACTGGCTACCCTAAAATGACAAATATTCCTTGTTGAAAGCCACATCTCTAGGATCATCTTGCAATATTTCTTCAACCACACACTCTACTTTTCCAGAGAAGAGTCTTAAAAATACATCTGCCGTTCCCTCCCTGCCCCCCTTAAGTCTCCAATGGTACACCTTTCCTGATGTGCTAGTGCACCAGCAGCTGTGTGGGAGACCCACCCCTCACTCTGACTCTGGCCTGACTATTTCTTCTTTGTGCTTTGAGCTCAGTAGAAGTTTAATCAGTATCCCTGAGAGCTCAGTGTCCCTTTCTTTGGGAATCCAAGAAGATAGGTATGAGATAGCATGAAAATTTAATTTTACTCAAGAGCATTAAGATCAGGAGAAACCCCTCTTTGCTGGCCTTGGAGGCTGGAGTCAGTGTGTATATGATGTGAGTAGGGAAATAGAGACATGGGATTCTGAAACGGAAACTTTCAGTGGATGAGATAATTGGAAAGAGTCTGAGTGGCCCCACTGAGTCCAAAACAGTTGCCAACTTCTCAAGGTTAATACCCAGAGGGCTAGACCCTCTTGGCTTTCTCCTGCACCCAGTCAGCTATGGATCCTGGAATAGTTGAAAATAGCTGGTGAGCAGAGTAGAGCAATGCAGCCTCTACTTCTCTCTCCTCTATGCCATGTAAAAAAATTTCTTTCCCCTATCCCTCTCCAATCTAGACTGGGACAATCAGATGATAAAAGAGTTCTACTTTAAAACAAGTGCACACAGGTATTTATAGTAAGGAATTGGACTGAATGAACCAGCTGCTAAAAATAGAAGGTTTGATATAATCCAGTCAGGAAGATTGTGGCCCAATGCATTTAGGGATAAAATAAAATAAATTCAGATCTAATATTTAGAAAACATATCCCAGGCTGGGATGGTAGACCTCTCATGAGAAATGCTATATATATTTCCAAAGTGGCAGCAAAGTGGGGATGGGCTTTGCAGGCAAAACACTTAACTCTTAGTCAGAACATCAGAAGATCTTTTATTTATTTATTATTTTTTACTAGAGGCCTGGTGCATGAAATTCGTGCAAAGGGGGGGAGGGGTGTGTGTGTCCCTCAGCCCTGCCTGCACCCTCTCCAATCTGGGACCCTTTGAGGGATGTCTGACTGCTGGTTTAGGCCCGTTCGGACATACCTGCAGTCGGACATACCTCTCACAACCCGGGACTGCTGGCTTCTAACCGCTCGCCTGTCTGCCTGCCTGATCGCCCCCTAACCAATCCCCTGCTGGCCTGATTGACACCTAACTGCTCCCCTCATGGCCCAATTTCCCCCAACTGCCATCCCCTGCCGGCCTGATGGCCCCCAACTGCCCTCCCCTAATGGCCTGGTTGCCCCCAACTGCCCTCCCCTGCTGGCTTGATCTCTCCCCCAACTGCCCTCCCATGCAGGCCTTATCTTGCCCCCAACTTCCCTCCCCTGCTGGCCTGGTCACACCCAACTGCCCTTCCCTGCAGGCCTGGTTGCCCCTAACTGCCCACCCCTGCAGGCCTGTTTGCCCCCAACTGTCCTCCCCTGCTGGCCTGATTGCCCACAACTGCTCTCCCCTGCTGGCCATCTTGTGGTGACCATCTTGTGGTAGCCATCTTGTGATGACTTTGCGTGACACCACCTAGGCTTTTATTATATAGGATTTTTAAAATTGACTTTTAGAGAGAGAGGAAGGGAGAGGGAGAGGAGAGATCCTGTATGCCCCTTACTGGGGATGGAGCCTATAAACCGGGCATATGCCCTGACTGGAAATCAAACTGACAACATTCTGGTGCACGGGATGATGCCCAACCAACAGCCATACCACCAGGACACATCAGGTCTTTTAAAGTCTGTTTTAATTTTCCTCCAGGAAAATTGTCTAAGTCCCCTAAGCTTTGCACTACATCAATGTCAGTAAAGTTACTGAGCCTTTATGGAAGGTTTGGGGCTCTAACTTATGTTTGAGAAATACTGACTCTCTGTCAAATTTTATGGTTTATGCTCATTTAATTTTCCCTAGTGCGTAAGTTCTTTGAATGAATGAACCAATGCACACCATTTAGCGAGCACTTACTGAGTGCCATGCTGCATGCTAGGCCGGTCACATGCTGTCTTATTTAGGCCTCACCATAACCTTAGCATGTGCTCTCCATTTTACGGATTTACAAACTGAGACTCAGCTAGGATT